GTGTGTGTGTGTGTGTGTGTGTGTGTGTGTGTGTGTGTGTGTGTGTGGCAATCGGTATTAAGTGACTTGCCCAAGGTCACACAGCTAGTACGTGTCAAATGTTTGGTCTGAGGCCGGATTTGAACTCAGGTCCTCCTGACTTCAGGGCCGGTGCTTTCTTCACTGTGTCACCTCGCTGCCTCTTAATTCATTTATAATATTTCTTTCACATCTTCTTCGTCATCTTTCTTCTAGGATCCTTTTAGCGCAGTTCCCACTATGGAAAAGCTACTCCTCCTAACTGATCCTCTGATCCCTGTCATTTTTGTAGATCTTAAAAGTAATACACATGTAGATAATTTAAGTGATATGGTTTTTTTGTGGTGCCATATCATCTGCTTTCTACAACACATTTCCAAATTCATTCCCTGCACACTAATATTACCCGTATGTTATGTTTGCAGTTCCCAGCTGTTAATCACCCCCAATCTTTGGAGAGAAGATATCTAGGAATTTTAAGTGGCGTTTTGCTTGACTTAATGAAGGTAGGACATTGTGCTGCTCTTTTTTCACATACAATATTCAATTTATATTTTGCTTGTCTCTCTGTAGGAGTAAGTTGCAAAACATTATGTGATTTAGGCCCTATATTAATAAATAAGGGATTTTCCAAAAGTTAATTGTGGAGAATGAATTGTAAATAACATGGATAATCTATTAAGTTACAATAGAGTCTTGTGTTTTAACATTTTATATATACAGTGCAGAGTATTTGCATAAATATTTCTTGATTAATCATGGGCCTTTAATAAATATTTATTTGATTTTTATTTTATGGCTAATTGGCCAGTCAATATAAATTGATATTATACTCCCTGTGTTTGGAGCCCAGTTAATAAATGTATTAGAAAAATACGAGGAGCTTGTAAGCAATTATATCACTCATCATGGATGATTTGTATATTTCTTAGTTACTTTTTCTAAAGTCCCTACCAAAATTATTTGATTAACTTTTTAAAAAATATCAATAAAACAAATTAGGAAAACTAGAATAAGTTCAATTTTCCATTTTTTCCATCTTTGTCATTTGCCTTACTTATAAACTAGGAACTAAAATGTGATAAGAATATTTCTGCTTTGAGAAGCTCATTCTGAGTAGACATTGCTTGATGCCATTGTGCTAATGTTGGCTATGTCTGTATGTATAAATTGACAATATCATAATTCAGCTGGCCATGGTAATGATAATATGGATCCATTATGTCATTGATTCAGTCAGAATGATTGGTAGCCAGTATGAAGAGAAGTAAAACAATTGGATCAGTTGTGCTATAGGGGAATGGCTACTATGTCCTTTTACTTATTGGTATTGAAGTTTGAGATAATTAACTAGTTATTTACTGGCTTCTTAGTAGTTTCATAGCATTGACCTGATCTCATGAAGGAATTTATAAACCGGATGTTTTGTAACTAATATGTAGAGTATTTTCTACTGATAACATTTTAATACCATATTTCAGTGTAAAATGAGAGCATTGAAATAGAACTGGCTTACAGAAATCTGGTTTCCCCGAATTCATATATATTCATCTACTTTAAAATGCTATTTTTGGACAAAGAACCTTTGTACTTATTTTTAGTTGATGTCTTTTAAAAATACAATCATTGTAATACTAATGCCAATGCAACCAGAATCATTCTGTGCATATCCACACAAGGTGACTTTTGTTCTCCATTTAAGAAAAGAAAAAAGAATTGTGTAGCATTTAGAGCTTTGTCTGAATCAATATTAATGCAAAATCACTTGCTTAGAATCAGTGCCTTAGGCTTCTGAACAAAAGCCCTTTGACCAGAAAAGTGAATACTTTCATTTCCATTGAAACTGGAATGCCAAATCTTAGCCTGGCTCTTGGGCATGGTGCTAGAGGGGCATGAGGCTGAGTAGCAAAGAACGCAGAGTCCTGGACAAATTTAGTGCTGGTGAAATGCTTCCCTTTTTTCTTGGTAGCTACCACTTTGCAAGAGGATTTTGGCCACTGAGTATGCTTAAAATGATCCAATTTAAACCATATTCATTTAGCATTATTGTGTTCTAAAGATGGCAGAGATTCATAGGGCAGGAAGGGACCTTAGACATCGTGTCCACTGCCATCTATTCATTTTACAAGTGAAACTGAAGTCCTGAGTGGTTAAATAACTTGCCCACATTTTCACAGCCAGCTAGCAACAACATTGATTAGAATCCAGTTGTAACATCTCCCAGTCTTAAGCTTTTATTTATTTTTAACTTACTTTAACTTCATTTCTTTGTTTGACATTATTCTATATCTTTTTGTTTTTGTTTCACTTTTTTATTTCTTAATATGCCCTTATCCCTGTATCCCACAAGCAATTTATTAAAAATGAAAGGGGAAAAATAGTTCAGCAAAACCAACCAATACATCAGTCACCTCTGACAATATATCTGTAGTTGCCTGTCTCTGTAAAGAACAGCGGAGATGGAATTTACTCAGCTTTTCTTGGAGGTCAAGATTTGTTATTATTAATTAAACAGCCTTCCTTTTCTTTCTTTTTTTTTTAGTTCACATTGCTATAGTCATAGTGTATGTTGTTTTCCTGGTCTGCTTACTTTCTAATGCTTTTATTTAAGCTTGCTCAATTTAAAAAATAAAGCCTGGTTTGATTTATTAATGTTTTAATGTTGAAATATTTACTAATAATTGGAAGAGAGAAAAGTTTTTAAAATTGACTTGATAGAAATTTTTAATGTCTATTAAATTAATTTTTGTCCACTTAAATTTATATTATTTTTCCAAATCCTGGGCTTTTTTCCTTTAAGAATTTACTGAAGTTGGATCCAGCAGACAGATACTTGACAGAACAGTGTTTGAACCATCCTTCATTTCAAACCCAGAGACTCTTGGATCGTTGTGGAACTTCACCTTCACGATCAGCAAAGAGAAAACCATACCATGTTGAAAGCAACACATTATCTAATAGGTACATATTTCTTTCTAAGGCAGTAGAAAGCAGGACTGGCCTTATAAGTAGATAAAATAGGTGAATGTTCATGTATAGTGATTGGTGGAACAAGGCCCCCACCAGGCTGTTATATAAAATCAGGCCATGTTTGAAATCCTGTAGTGAACTGCGCATTCGTTTAGGTCTTGGTTGTTTAGTCTTTGAGTCTTGTATGAAAATGCATATGTCCTTGAAAGGGTAACACATGAAGTCTTATCAGCTAACACAGTTTCCAATCATGACAGCTCGCAGAGAGAGTAAGGCCTTGTGGGAATGAGGCATAGTATGTGACAGCACGGAGGCAAAGGGTGCCATGACGGGGGGGAATGAATGACGTGAGGAGCATTTAAGAGGCATCCGTTTACCATTTTGGCCAGGGTAAGCCTTCTACAAATGTGTTCTAATTAAATCTGATTAATTAAATTCTTGGCAAAACAATTATTATAAATAGAGCACAACTGTTTGATGGTGTAAGTCAAAGCTAACAGTTTGATCATTGGTCATTCTTTCAACATACCCCATAAGACTGTTGTCTGTATGCGGTTGGTTATATGTGTATTACCTTCAGCTGGCCAGAGTGGATACCAAGACAAATCCTAGAAAGCTGACAGTGTGATTCTGTGCTACGTTTAATTTGTGGAAAGCATGAATTAACTTTTCCTCATCCACCATTGTTAAAGAAACAAAAAGATTGTTTTTTTTTTTCTTCTCAAAATAAACTCTTTCAGTAGAACATTCCATCTCCTATAATAGAGATGGCATTTTAAAAGCTTATTTGATCTTTACCTAATCTGTAATAACATCCTATTAAGTAGTGAACACTTACATTTTGTTAGTTTCTCCTATTAACAGAATATTGATAACATTTTACAATTGTTGATAACTCTTTTAGAGACTTCTGGTTTCATTTAATTTCTTTTGCCTTTTTCAGAATATTCTTAGCTGAAATTTCTTTGGTAACTTTAAATTTGAAAATATATCTTACCAATTTGATTGCTGGAAATTTTGATCCATTGAATCAAGGACTTACAGTATTATCAGTTAGTTGCTTATCTTGAATTTAGGAAGTTTCATATCTGTTTAATCCAGTGTGTTTCTGTGATAACTTGTGGTTTGGGTCCTTTTGCTTCTTTTCTACCATATCATTTGGAAAGGTATATTGCGGTGGGATTTGTAGCCTATTAGTCACAGTTAGTAAACATTTATTAAGCTCCTGCTTTGTGCTAGGGATTACAAAGAGACAAAAGACAATCTCTACCATCAAGGAGCTCACTATCTAGTGGAGGAGACAACATGCAAACAGATATATACAAACAAGCTATGTACAGGACAAATAAAATAAATAATTATGGAAGACATGAGAATTAAGAAGTATTAGAAAAGGCTTTTGGTAGAAGATGGAATTTTAGTTGGGACTTAAAGGAAGTTGGAGAAGTCAGTAGTTGGAGAGGAAGAGGAAGAGTATACCAGGCATGGGGGACAGCCAGAGAAAAATGACTGGAGCCAAGAGATGGAGAGTGTTGTTTGTGGAACTGGCAGGAGGCCAATGGCACTGGATTAAAGAGAATGTGGTAGACAGTAAGGTGTAAAAAGACCAGAAAGGAGGAGTGGGCTAGGTTGTAAAGAGCTTAGAATGCTAAACAGGGCATTTTATATTTGATCCTGGAAGCATGTGGCATGGTCAGATCTGTATTTTAAGAAAATCACTGGTGACTGAATAGAGGTTGGTTTGGAGTGGGGAGAAACTGGAGACAAACAGACCCACCATTAGGCTATTGCAATAGTCTAGGCATGAGGTGTTAAGGGCCTACACTAGAATGGTGGCAGTGTCAGAGGAGAGAATGGGGCATATATGATAGATGTTGCAGAGATGAAATTGACAGGCCATGTCAACCTCTTGTTTAAAGAGGATTAGAGATAGTGAAGGAACCAAGATGACTTCTAGGTTGTGAGACCGAGGGACTGAGGTGGTGGTTTAGGGAAATTAGCATTGGGGAAGGATGAATTAGGGAAAAGGGCAAATGAGTCCTCTTCTGTCCATGAGTTTAAAATCTAGTTGAAAATGTCTGAAAGGCAGTTAGAAATGTGATACTGGAAGCCAGCAGAGGTTAGGGCAACATAAGTAAATTTGAAAATCATCAACTTAGAGAGAATAATTAAATCCATGGGAGCTGATGAGATCACCAGGTGAAACAATAAAGAAAGAGAGGAGAAGAGGGCTCAGGACAAAACCCCGTGAGACATCTACAATTTGAGGGTCTGATCTAGATGAGGATCCAGTAGAGCAGGCTGAGAAAGAGTGGACAGCTGGGAGAAGAACCACAAGAGAAGAGTACTCTAAAAGTCTAAAGACAGAGTATCACGGAGGAAAAGAGTGATCAGTAGTGTCAAAGGTCGCAGAAAAGTCAAGAAGAATGAGGATTGAGAAAAAGACACTGGATTTGTCAACTAAGAGATCATTGGTGACTTTGGAGAGAGCAGATGTAATGGAAAGATAAGGTCGGAAACCAGATTGTAAGGGGTTAAGAAGAGAGTGAGAGGAGAGAAAATGGAGATAACTATTATAGATGGCCTTTCTAAGGAGGTTAGCCACAAAATATGGACACTTGATGGACCATCTTCATTCTCCCTAGTAGTCGGGCTTATAGGTATGCACCATCAAACCTGGCCTTTTTCTGCTTTGAAAAGTTGCTTTGTCTAAGGAAGATTAATACCATATGTGTTTCCTTAAGTAGACATAGAGTTTCTATCAGCTTCTGTACCAAAGAGATTCATGTTATCTTTAAGACAGTAATTCGTACTGATCTTTGGCAGAGCTTTAGTGTGAACAGAAATGTGAATTAACATATCTATTTAAGAAACTATGTCAAAGCTTGCTAGCCTTCTTTTGGGGATCTGCAGATCTATTTAGAGCCAGGGATGGGGACCCTGCAGCCTTGAGGCCACTTGTGGCCCTCTAGGTCCTCAAGTGTGGCCATTTGACTGAATCCAAACTTCACAGAATAAATCCCTTAATAAAAGGATTTGTTCTGTGAAAACTAGACTCAGTCAAGGACCTAGAAGGCCACATGTGGCCTTGAGGCAGCAGGTTTCCCACCCCTGATTTAGACTGTTACACTTCAATAAATTAAAAATACTTCCAAGCCATCTTTTTTTTTTTTTTCTGGTTTTCTGGTGAGACAATCGGAGTTAAGTGACTTGCCCAGAGTCACATAGCTAGTAAGTGTCAAGTGTCTGAGGCCGGATTTGAACTCAGTTCCTCCTGACTCCAAAACCAGAGCTCTATCCGCTGTGCCACCTACTTGCCCCTACCAAGCCATCTTTAATTTATTAACTTTGAATGTTTAAAGTAGCCAATATTCCATTGCTAAAAATATTTTTCCCCAAGATATATCTATATATGTGAGTTCATTGTTAAGGTAAACATTACCGAACATTTCAAAGAATTGGCAGTTCCTCAAATTTATGTGACCAACTTTATCCCCCTGTCGATTTATTTTGAACCTAGGTCAAATTGTGATTATGATGTCATCTGTTCTCCTGACTTCAGTGGAGAGAACATGAACATAAAATATTGTAGTATTCCTTTTTATGGAAACATCAGCACAAACAAAATCTCTCAGAGAATTCTTTTCAGACAAAATTATCATAATTTTGCTGGCTTTCAACATCTTCTCCCTCTTCTAGAGTGCTACTATAATGCCTCATCACAAATAGAATGGAGTGCATGCTCCATCTGGTAGTGCCAACCTGGAATGACTTTTAGGATGTACTGGATGACTCTCTCCATCTGTTGTCTGAAGACTAACCTAGCTAGATTTAGAGAGCCCATTGTCAGAAGATTGGCTACCAAGGGATTAAAGGGATTTTGGCCATGGTTACTTCTTTAACTATCTGTTAAGGAGTGAAGAGATGACTTTCTTTGTCAGTAGGAGTCTTTGAGTCTTCATGTGTATTTAAAGTAACATGATAAATATTTGCTAACCCACACAAATGTTTCAAGCCCTGGGACATATGAATTGATCAACCAACAAGCATTTATTTTGTGCTCACTATGTGCCAGGCACTGTGTATCATGGGAAGACACAAAGGCAAAAACACAAAAGAACTTTAGTCCTCACGGAGCTTAAAATACCAGTAGAGGTATAAGATGAATACAGAGTAGAATGAAGGTAAACTCGTAGTGGAAGGCTTAAGTGGCTGGTGGGGAAATGGGAAAGACTGCAGAAAACAGGATTTGTGTTGAGTCTTGAAAGAAACCAAGCTATGTCAAGACGTGGAGATGAGGAAGGAGGGCATTCCACACTTGGGGAAAACTCCGTGCAAAGGGGTAGATGGAGTGTCCTGTGCCAGGAGCAAACAGGCAAGTATCACAAGGAAAATATAAAACAGTGTGAGAAGACTATAGAAAGGAGCTAGGTTGTGAAGAGCTCCAAGTGCCAAAGTAAGGACTTTCTGTGCAATTAATGGAGGTAATAGGGAGCCCATGGAGTTTATTGAGAGAAGCAGAGGGACGTGATCAGAAGGTATAGGTAGAAATGACAAGATTACTGGATATCTGGGGTGGGTGAGAGGGAGAAGTCAGAGAGGACAGTAAGGTTGCAAACCTGGTAGACGAGGAGGATGATAGTACCCTCCATAGAAATAGGGAAGTTCAAAGGACTGAGGTTGGCTCTGAGAGGAAATAGAATGAGCTCAGTTTTCAAAATGAGTATAATGGACATGTTGAAATTGAGACATCCAGTTTGAGATGTCCATTGGATACTTAGAGGTGTAGGATTAGTGCTCAGAAGAGAGACAAAGATTCGATCTATAGATCTGAGAATCATTTTGTATAGAGATAATCATTTAAAGCCATAGGAACTGAAAAGATCACCAAAGAAGGTTATAGAGCAAGAACATAGAAGAGTGTCTAGGACAGGGTCTTGGGAAATCACTTACCATTATGAAGGCATGTCAAGGATGAAGTTCTTATAATGGAGACTGAGACAAGTAGGGGGAGAACCAAAAGAGAGCAGTGTCATGAAGACCCCAAGGAGAGAGAGTACCAAGCAGGAGGTGATCAACAGTGTCAAATACTGTAAACAGTTTGAGAAGGATGAGGACTGAGAAAAGGACATTAAGAGGCAGTTAAGAGATCACTGGCAACTTTGAAAAGAACAGTTTTCAGTTAAATGATGAGGTCATAAAACAAGTTTTAGTAAAAAGTAAGGAGAAAGTGGGGACACTGAGTAATGATGACTTTTTCAAGGAGTTTAGGAGATAAGGTAAAGTGAGACTATCATAGATAATGAGGATAGAAGAATCAAATGAGGATTTTTTAAAAGATTGGATGAGCCATGGTTGTGTTTGTAATTAGCAGAAAAGTTAGCAAGGAGAAGCCAATAGAGAACAATTGAATATGGGAGAGACAATGGGGATTATGATAGGAGCAGTCTTCTGGAGATGTGGGAGGGACTGGGACCAAGGATGCATGTAGAGGAACATGGGAAGAGCCACCTCCTTATCAGTGACTAAAATGAAGGGATAGATCATGCAAAATGATGTCAGTGATATTTGATACGAGGAGAGAGGAGGGAGCCTCGGGTTTTTTTCAGTATATATGACCCATGGTCCTCAGCTGAGAGGGTTGGAGATATGAATCTCATGGGAGACCTGAGGAGAGACAAGGTTTGGAACAGTAAACTGTATTGAATGGGAAAGAGAATCAGAGAGCGGTAGGATTGCTTTGCTTGTAGTGTAGATCTTGTTGAAATAAGATGACATAAATTTGAAGTGGACCCAATCATCTTGGTTTTGTGATTTCCTCTAATTCTGTTTGGCAGCATATGAATAGGAGTGAAGGAAATGGATAAGGGAATAATCTGAGTTCAGGGTTTGGCAAGGCATGACAAAGGGGCAAAGGGTTGAAGCAGATCAAGAGTAATCTAGGCTTAGAATTGGCCAGGACAAGAGGGTAAGGGGGTCAGGAATGAGGGATAGTGTAGAGTTGAACTGGTTCACAAAGAGGTTGAGATTAAGAAGGGAAAAGTTTTTATTGATAAGATTTATTTGAATATCATTTTGGTATTTGAGTACCTTATTGTAGCTGTGCATTTTAAATTCCTTTTTATATAGAACTTGTATAATTTCTTAATTAGATTATCTCTGCTAAATGTCCTCTGTTTTCCTTAGTCAGGTTTGTATCTAAGTCATTCAGTGTTACAATTAAGAGACATTTGTGGGAGTGTTAGAGACATTTTGGGAGATCAAAAGTATCCACATTGGACCCTTTTCCAGCTCATAATTTAAAGGAGAAAAGTATGTCAAAAACAAGAGTGGATCATTACGAGCTTAATTCTTTTCATGGTTGAAAGTCTTTGTTTTTGGTGTGACTTTAATGAAAAAGGATCTGAAGTATTTCAGTTACTGGTATATAGTTGTGATTCAATTCAGCAAGGTATCATATGCCCACTTTAGCACCTACTATGGGCCAGAAACTGTGCTACATGCCAGGGGGACAAATATAAAAATGAAATCGTCCCTGGCTCTCAAGGAGCATTCATCTGCTGGCAGGTGGGTTGGGGTGGGTGTTACATGTACACAAACGGGTATGATACAAGGTAAATTGTGATAGAAGACACCAATGGGGGGACCTGGGAAAACTTCCGTGGGGATGTTATTCTTAGCTGAGCCTTTGAAAAAAGTTCAATATCCTAAGGGGCAGGAATGAGGAGAGAGTAAATTCTGAGTATGAGACATAATATGCACAAAGACAAGGAGACAAGAAAAATTATGTTGAGTTAAGGGAACTTGGAAATAATGAAACAGAGTAGTATGAGATAAGGCTGGAGCAGCAGTTACATAGGAGCCCCATAATGGAGGGTTTACGTTTTGTCCTAACTGCATTGGATGCTAATGGATATATTTCAACAAGGAAGCAACATGGTCAGACTAGTACCTTTGAAAAATTATTTTAGCAGTTTTGTAAAGGAGAAAGAAAGAGACCGAAAATAAGGAGATCCATTAGTCAGACTGTTGTGATAGGCAAGAAAGGGGTGATGAGGTCCTAAACTATAATAATGTAAATATACTTGGAGGACAGGGTACAAATGAGAAAGATATATTTTGTAGAAGTAGAATCAACAAGGCTTGGTGGGGGTGGGGAGAGAGAGAAAGGCCAGAATGATTTTAAAGTTCTGAACCTGAGTTACCAGAAGGATAGTGGTTTCCTCAAAGAAAATAGAGAAGTTTGGAAAAGAGAAGGGTTTAAAGGAAAAAGTAGTAAGTTATCTTTGATTTCTGAAGGACAAAGAACAGCAGCAGCAGCAATGGTTTAGAATGTAGAGGCTTTAAACTACTAGTCTTTCCATGAGGGAGAACATCCTTGAGAGATTCTATTGCTATCATATATCAGAATGCAAAAAGGAAGAAATATCATTCCAGGTCTGAAACATACTATTTAGTTAATAGTTTTTAATTAAGGTAGGGTATTGGGAAAGTGGGGAGTTCTGGGTTTTGTTGTTTTTGTTTTTAATAATGTGACTTTTGGGACCTAGCTGGAAGTTTTTAATGAAACATGTTTTGGAGAAGAGATATTTAGTATTGCTTCAGGCTTCCATAATGTCAGCTCTTTGAACAGCTTCTCAAATAATTCTTGGCAGAGATCACCATCTGAGAAGTGGGAGGACAGGAAGAAGCCCCTCATTTATGATGCCTGAGCATACATACTGATGGGAAAAAGTTGAAGGCTTATTTTCACAGATTACCATACTGCTGAGAAAAATGTGACATTTCTTTCATTGCAGCATAAAGAGAATAAAATCATCCCTAATCAAACCATCTCTGACAGTAGCTATATTTGAAGCAAGATTTTTCTGAATACTTGGAAAGAACAGAGAATCGTTTGTTTGAATTGTTTCTTTATCAAAAACTTGTCCATCCCAAACTAGAGTGGGTTTTTTTTTGAAAGATAAAGATAAAATGAGATAATCTTGTTAAGATATCAAAGTTCTGCTTTTTATAATGAAGTTTTATTTTGCATATTTTATTTTGTTTTCAAGCTTAAATATGAAATAAACTTCTAAATTTTAGAGAAAGTCTCTGTCAATTTGGAATGATGGTATGTGAGACTATCTATTTTAAGCAACTATGAAAGCCTTGAAGGAATCTGATCTTGCAATGAGAACTCCTGCATTCAGTAATTGATCCCAGTTTCTGGTACAAAATAGAAACTGCACAATTATTACTTTTCTAAAATGTGAGTACAGACCATATTCTGTTTCAAACCTCACAGGGCACTTTGGGTAGAGAGACAAAACCAAGCTAACACCGCCCCCGCAGTGGGGGACCGGGGAGGGTTTGACTCTGAAGAGAGCTGTGATAGAACAAGTGAAATAAGAAATTCTGTGAACTTAAAAAAGAGTGATAAAGATAATAGATAAATGCATCTCCAACCCTATCCTTTTTTTCAAAGCTCCTAGATTTTTGTGTATATGTGTGTGCTTATGGAGAGAGGTGTTTGGCTTTGTAATTGAAGTAGCTTTTCCTCACTGGGGTGTTTTGGGATGTTTGAAATAGGATAAAATGAAAAACTAAAAGTGAAATGTTGTTTACTGGTACCCAAGGAAAATAAAGAAACTCTGAAGAGTCTAGCTTCTGCTCATATCTCTTCTTTTCCATAGATGTTCTATAATCAAATAACTTTTCTTCATGATTATTTTATGAACAGGGCCTAAACAAAGCGTTAGTTGCATTGAAATATTAATTATAGAGAATTTGTTGGAACAGTATCAGTAGGGAAATGATTTCTGTGGGCCATCCACAGGATGTGACAAGGAAATATTATTACAAAAATCTTTGTTATAATTCTTTTTGCAATATGATTTTACCCACAGTTTACTACAATGTAGACATGTTATTTTAAAAAATTAGCATTTCTGTTCATTGAGAAATCTTTATTATCTGGTCATTTAAAACACATTTTTGTATCTGTCTCTGTGAAGAGAGTTCATATGTTAATGCTTCTTTTGTTTTTGATGTAGAAATCAAGCCAGCAAAAATGCTGCTTTGCAGGCACATCACAGATCTAACAGTAAGGATATACAGAATCTAAGTGTTGTACTTCCACGGAATGAAGATGTTCTTCCAGCAAGTGAAAGCTTCCTCAATGGAAACCTTTCTGGAGCTTCTCATAGTCCCATGCACACCAAACCCTATCAAACAAGTAACCCACCTGGATCTGCAAACAAAGATCTCACCAATAACAACATTCCACATCTTCTTAGCCCCAAAGAATCAAAATCAAAAACAGAATTTGATTTCAGTATTGACCAAAAGGCCTCTGAGGGCCCAGGCACAAAATACCTTAAGTCAAACAGTAGGTCTCAGCAGAACCGACACTCATTTATGGAAAGTTCCCAAAGCAAAACTGGAACATTACAGCCTGGTGAAAAGCATGGACGGCATAGCTACATAGACACTATTCCCCAATCCTCTAAGAGTCCTTCTTATAGGGCAAAGGCCAAAAGTCATGGGGTTCTGACTGACTCCAAATCTGTGAGTAACCTTTCTGAAGCCAGAGTTCAGATTTCTGATCCCAATAGCAGCAGGTATTTTCCATCTAGCTGCCTAGACTTGAACTCTCCCACCAGCCCAACCCCTCCCAGGCACAGTGACAGTAGAACTTTGCTTAGTCCTTCTGGGAGAACCAACCGAAGTGAGGGCACACTGGACTCACGGCGAACAACAGCAAGACATTCCAAAACAATGGAGGAGTTGAAATTGCCCGACCACATGGATGGAAGCCATTCACACTCACTGTCTGCACCACATGAATCTTTTTCCTATGGTCTAGGCTATACCAGCCCTTTCTCTTCCCAGCAGCGGCCTCATAGGCATTCCATGTACGTGACTCGGGACAAAGTGAGAGCGAAAGGCTCAGATGGAGGCTTGAACATAGGGCAAGGGATGGCAGTCAGAGCCAACAGCCTGCAACTTTTATCACCACAGGTACAATTTAGGCCATTCACCAGATTTGTTGGCACATCACAGGAAGATGGTACAGAGGATTTGAATAGGGTCAGTCTGAAATTTTGCTTGTTGTAGGATATCTTAAAGATACACGATAGGGGTAGTTTCTAAACACTTTAAAAGAAAAAAAAGTGAATCAATAATATCTGTTAAAAATAATAATAAAAATAAAACAATAATAATGCTGAATCTTTGAGTCATTAATAATTCGGCAATAGGGAGGATTCAGTAGTTTTCTAAAAATCCTATTCCTTTGTTAAATTTTACATTACAGCTCATTTTTCCAATACAATTTCATTTTGAATTAGTAGTGAAATCCATAGGGTTTTTTTCCCCATAGTTTTTCACTTTGAGGATGAATTCAAAGGCATATTCTTCCATCTTACCAACCTACATGCTCTCAGCACCTTTCTTACTGATTGCTTTCCTGACTTGATTTCCTAATGCAAGCCAAAAGTTTTTAAATGGCTGCAGATAACTTTTAGATTCCAAGTTTTGCAGTGGATTTTTGATGTCTATAAAACAACCAAAATTTAGATTTTGAAACCTTATGAAAAAAGTTTGGAGACATCTTAATGATTTTCAGAGTCCAGATGTGATTCCTCCTAGTTTAAAATTGATAATACCTTTGAAGGTATACCAGCATGCTTTGAATTTACATTTTTATAAAATTACATATTCACCTGGATCAAGGAGAAATGAGATGAGATTTCTCTTTTGATGGAAAATGTTTTAAAAGGAAATCATTTAACCACTACCCTTTTAGAAGCCTATTTTATGCCAAATATATTTGGTCAGGATAGAAGCAATAAAAATTGCTCACATTTATATGACCGTTGGAGTTTATGAAGCACTGTCCTCACAACCTTGTGAGGTATGTAATACCAGCGTTATTATCATAACCATTTCACAGATGAGGAAACTGAGGTTCATTGCTCCCCTAACATCTCTACCATGATACAGGTAGTAAGAGACATAACCAGGACCTAACCCTAGGTCTTATGGTTTTTCTCTAAATCAGCACATGCCATATTATCTAGAGAATGTAAATGAAACCTATAACCATCCCGTGCATACAGAGAATAATGAGATAAAAGGTATAGTATTCTAAAGGGTAAGAATATCAGTCAGTGAATATTCACTGAATTCTTTCTATGTTTTCAGCTTGGTGTAGATGCCATAGGGGAAACATAAAAAACATATGTTCTGTGCCCTTAGGGAGTTTGCCATCTAGTTGTAGAGACCAAAAATGACATATAAAACAGAAAACCATAAGGGAGATATTAGTGGGAATTGGAGAATGCTTTCATGAAGGAAAGGGATTTGAACTGAGTCTTAAAAGATGGTAAGATTCAGATGAATGAGAAGAAAGAGATTTCAAAGTTACAGGGTGGACTACATAAGCAAATATAAAAAGACGTAAATGTTCAGATGGTAATGAAGTGGTCTGTTGGATCAGACTGATGTTTAGGAGAGTAATAAGAAATGAGTTTGGATAAGGAGGTGGGGGGGTGGGAATCAGATTATAGAGGACCAGGTGGGAGACCTTGAAATTTTTAGGTTTCATTCCTTAGCAAGGTAAAAGCAAAAGTTACTCAAAGAAGCAATCTAGAAAATTGTCTGGCCAGGGGTATGCAGAATAAATTGGAAAGGGAAAGACTTAGTAACAGGCCAACTAAGGAATTTTCATTAATTAAAGCAGGAGAACATGATGGCATGGGCTTAGACAAAGGCAATGAGAATAGAGAAAGCACAAATCAGAGAAATCCTTCGAAGGAAGAAAAAACTGGTGAAAGATTAGATGTGAGAAATTAGAAGAGTCAAAGATGTCTCCAAGGTTTTTATTTGATGGACTAAAAGGAATATAATATTGCTGAAAGAAGTAAGCCAGCTGAGAAGAAAACTTAGCTTCATAAAATCAGAGAATTGTATAGCTAGTAGGGCATTCGAGATCATCCAGTACTACTTCTTGATTTGCTGCCATGATTGAGGCTCAAAGAAGTTTTAGCGACTTTAACGCTATAGCTAGTTAGTGACACAGCAGATTTAGTATCAAAGTCTCTTAATTTCCAGAGGAGTGCTCATTCTGCTACACTCTCTTGTTTTAAACTTGTTGAGTTTGAGGTGACCATGGACCATCCACTAGAGATACTCTGTGGACTGTTGGAAATAAAGGACCAAAACACAGATATTTGACAATCTTTTGCATACAAAAAATAAGTTATCTTTCTGGAGAGTGAATGGAGAGAAAAGAACTGGCAGTAGAGCCTTGGGTTATCATTTTACTTTAGAATTTAAAACAATTGATAAGTTAGAAAGGAGGCTCTTAACTTTTCTTGGGTCATGGATCCCTCTTGGCAGTCTGGTGAAGCCTTTGAGCTCCTTCTCAGAGTAACATTTTTAAATATAGAAACTAAATTTCATAGGATTGAAAAAGAAATGAACTATATTGAAATACAGTCACCAAATTATTTAATAAAAAAAAAAAGTTGATGGACCCTGGATTAAGAACCTCTGAATTATAGAGCAGTGAAAAATAAATGATTAGCATTTAAACACAAATGATTAGGGAGCAAGAGCAAACCATATGAAACAAGGTTGAAAATGACTGACAGTCTATGAATACTGGCAGAAGAAGGATTAGTAGACCTTCTAGATAATGAGTTGAACAGAAGTCAACAATGCTGTACTTAGAGGAAGCTAGGTGGCACAGTGGGTAGAGCACTGGCCCTGAAGTCAGGAGGACCTGCGTTCAAATCCAGCCTCAGACCAAACACTTGACCCTTTCTAACTGTGCAAGTCACTTAACCCCAGTTGCCTAAAAATAAAAAAATAAAATAAAATTTAAATTAAAAAAAAAACCAATACTGTACTTAGCACAGGTCAGACTGCTTTACAAACTGTCCTTGGACCAAACAGCTTTAAATGGACAATATAGGAAGTGGAAGATGGTGTTTGTTAAGATGTAAAATAAAGATGACAATAGAAAATAGCTAAAGCTATCATAATAAAAAATAATTAAGTAAAGTATGGTGGCAGCCACTAATATCCTACTTAGGTGATTTATCATGTTATAGAGGTGACCCTGGATTCTCATAGATTTATGCCAGTAATCTCTGACAGCCCCTACCAACTTATATAGGCACAGTGATATGTATATTTATATGTTTCTGGAAGAACAACATCAGATAGTTCAGAGAGGTTCATTGCCAGGTTGACCTCAGGGTGTTCAATTTTTACATTCTTTTCTTCTTGTTCAGTCATTTCAGTCAAGTCCGACTCTTTGTGACCCCCTTTGGGGTTTTCCTGGCAAAGATATTGGAGTGATTTGCCGTTTCCTCTACAGCTCATTTTACAAATGAGGAAACTGAAGCCAACAGGGTTAAATGACTTGCCCAGGATCACACAGATAGTAAGTGTTTGAGGCTAGATTTGAATTCAGGTCCTCTAGATTTCAGGTCCTGGTGCTCTATTCATTTGGCCACCTGCTTATTCATTCTAGTAGTTCCTGGGTCAGAGAGGGGGTTGCTGTCTACCTCAGCTAAGGGAGTACCCACACTAATGAAATTCTAGGTTCTTGAAATATGGCACCCAGATATAAAAGGAAGAGAAAATTAGGTTTAAGGTGTCACATGAATTTGGACTAGATGTACACAATAATTTCCTAACAGTGAGGATTGTTTAAACTGACATGATTTGCTAAGGGAAATTTTGAAACTTCCTCCCCCTGGAGATCTTTATAAATGGGCTAAGTCCTTGTATGTCTGGAATGGTTTAAATGTGGTACAGGCAGAAGGTAGGAGGATGGACAAACTAAGATGACTTTTCAAACCCAGTCAGTAAATTTAAGCTTAAGCAAATAAATACTTTGACATTTTCAAGGAAACAGTTCTCATTATCTCAAACCTCAGATAATACCCTTCTGTAAGCTATAAATAAATACCAAGGAAAATCATCCACCAGAGAATAATTTTTTTAATTCCCTTAAGTAACTATTGACTTTCTCTTAGTCTTATTTTCTGAGTAGAGAGGATGATATTTTCCCCTCCTTGCTTGTGACTATGACTGTTAGTTTGTTGGCTCCACTACTAAAAGGTGGTTGGGAAAAATTTAGAGGAAGTCCAGCAAAGAGTAATAAAGTGAATATGAATAATGAAATGTATTAAACAATGGGTAACATTCCAAAGAAAATTAGGAGATATTGAAATACCTAGACACCATTTAGTTATGAAATGTTTAAGACTAAAGCTATTGAGTATGTGTGCATGCTTGGTTTTATAAACATTTGTCATCTGAATCTGTGACCAACTTCTCTGTTACCAGTCTCCAACTCCTTTTCTCGTGAAAAATAATCCTAGACTTTTCTAGTTGTTATTTGAAAATTCAACCTAAATGTACTAGAGATTTCACTAAAAACTAGTTGTTTTCTCAAATCTATAATTTTAAAAACTATCGGTAGAATCAAACCTTTATCCGTTATATCACAGAATTATTTTAAAATTACAAAATCTTTGTTTTTAAATAATCATTTAAACTGTTGATGGGCTAATTTCTTCCCTGCCAACCCTAAGATGATTTTTATTATTTATGTAACTTGGCTTCTTTTTTTTCTTTTTCTTTTCCTTTTTTTTTCTTTCACTTTCATGAAATAGATGAAAATTTATTTCATAGATTTTAGCCATGAATAATTAGTCATTAAATAACATGTTCATTTTTTCTTTCAGATATATAAAATGTTGGTTAAGTTAAATGAGAGTATCTTAATTTTAGGTGATTTTAGTTGCTAGGTATATCAGTATTGTACGTGTTGCATATTTACTTGTTTGTTTGTTTCCAGCCAGGAGAACAAATACCCACAGAGCTAAGTGTATCCCGTTCTTCAGCTAAAGAAACCTCTCGAGAAGGCACATCTTCATTTCACTCACGGCAAAAATCTGAGGTCTGAATTATTTAGTAATTATATTTTTAAGTATGTATTTCAAAAATACTGCCCTTTCCTCTCTCAAAGTAAATCATTTTTGTCTTAGGAAATGTAATTCTGGTCTTTTTTTACAAAAATCAGTATGTAAAAAAAAAATTGTAATTATCTTAAACACCATAACAGAAATTCTACCTAAAAGCAGGGATTCTGAACCTTTTTTGGTCATGGACTCCTATTCCTTTGGATCCCTTCTTAGAATTATGTTTGTTGCTTACATTCATAATTAAAGGAAATGCTTAATTTCATTTAGAGGTTAAAATAAAGATAAAATATATTTTACTATCCAAGTTAATGGAGTGTCTAAAATCTATACACAGACTTCAGGTTAAGACCCCCTGAGCTAAAGTGAACTTGAATCTATTTGATTAATTTTTTAAAAGACTTTTCATTCCCTTAGGGTGGAGCCTATCATGACCCCCACTCAGATGATGGAGCAGCCACAAAAGAAAACAGACATCTGTATAATGATCCTGTTCCAAGAAGAGTTGGTAGTTTTTACAGAGGTAATTTTATAGGGGGATAAAAGTTCAGGATACATTTTGATATTTAATATCTGTCAGAATGAAATTAATTTAGAATTGCACAAGTTATAAAAAGATAATGGAGTAAAGGCTATCTAGTTTAGTTGCTCTATTATTTATTCAAAGGTCATGGAGGCCCCCCTCCCTGGACAAACTGAAATAAAGGCATGAGTGCAGTAGGTTAAAACATTTCATTCTGGCCATTAAAGACCTTTCCCAGCTACCCACTAGGGACTTCAGGATCCCTTACATTTAACATCATCTCATCCTTATTAATAACAGTTCATGATTATATAGCATGTTACAGTTTGCAAAATTTCACATATCATCTCATTTGTTCATGAAGACATGACAAATATGTGAGGTAAGTAGTACAAGTATTACCATCTTTCTATTAAAGTTGAGGATTCTGAGGCATGGAATACATAAGTGACTTGCATTGTGTCACATGGAAGTCTAGGAAGTACTTAGAAAGAACTGGGACTTGGAATGGGAGAGGCTTGAGACAAGGAAACTAATTGGTTAACTGCTATAGTAGTTCAGGTGAAGGGTAATGAGGGCCTGAATTATAGCAGTGGTTCTGTGAGTGGAGAAAAGGAGAAATATGTGAGTGATATTGAAGAGACAGAAAAGACAAGATTTGGCAACTGATACATGGACTGAGTGAGAGTGAGGAATCAAGGGTGATGCCAAGGTTGCAAGCCTGGGAGACCAGAAGGATAGTAGTACCATTAATAGAAATATAGAAGTTTAGAAAAGAGGATGATTTGTTGGAAGAGATAATGAGTTTAGTTGTGGATATGTTGAGTTAGAGATGCCTAAGGGTTATCCAATTTGAAATATCCAATAGGCAGTTGATGCTAATGATGAGCTCAGGAGAAGAGACTTAAGGCTAGATAGAACAACACTTCTGTCATGTAAGCTAGAACGACACAAAGTATTTATAGCCTAGAACTTCTCGATGATTTTTGGGACAACCTTGTATCACTCAACACATAATCTACATAGAGATGATAATTGAACCCATGGGCCCTGATGAGATCACCAAGGTGGAGAGAAAAGAAAAAAAAAAGAGAACAAAGCCAAGTACAGAGCCTTGTGGAACATCCATAGAGAGTGTCAGGACATGGATGATGATCCAGAAGAATAAGAAGTGTGCAAACAAGTTGGAGGAGAACTGAGAGAGTAGTGGCACAAAAACCTAGAAAGGAAGAGAGTAGTCACAGTGTCCGAGTGCTGTGGAGAGGTCAAGAAGTTTGAGAATTCATAAAAAGCCATTAGATTTGTTACTGTAATTACATATTATGATGTGATTATTAAGTATAAAAGGAAATGCAAAATTTGAGGGGTCAAAACAGATGGTTATAATACATGTGCATACAAGTATAGAATCCTAGGGTTATAGTTTTAGGGCTGGAAGGGACCTTGGGAGCCATAGAATCCAACCCTTTTATTTTACAGAAAAGAAAACTGAGGCATAGAAACACTCAGCAATGTGCCCAGGGTCACACACCTAATAAGTGTCTGAGGTAGATTTTAAACCCAGGTCTTTCTGCCTGCAAGTCCAGGGCCTATCAGCTCTACCATGTTGTTTTTCTAAGTTTGTTCTTGCCACATAATTTTGTTCTCTCAGTATGATGTACATACACTATCTTTCTAGAAGACATAAGGTTGTTCCTTGATGTTAAAAGTTAATTTTAAGGGCTTAGCTGAAACACTGAATTAATGAATTAGTCTTTGGCCTCTGGAAATTTGGATTTCAAGCTTGTGTTTGTTTACAAGTAAATTAAGTCACATTTATCCATCTCAGGCTTTGGCAGAAAGGGCTCTGTGTGTGTTGGAGTCTGGAAACACAATCAGGCAGCTATTGATTCCATTGTGTTAATGAAACTAAGCAAGTTGACGGTAGTACATGCTTAAATGAATATTCCCCCCTTCCCTTTTCCCTTGAGGCAGCAGGATTCGGTGGAGCAAGGTATGGACAAGGCCTGAGGGGCCCTGGCTAGAAAATCACTGACTATTTACATCCCTTCAGGGAAAGTCCTCCACTTCCCTGGACCTCCACTGTAAAATGAAGAGATTGGACTAGCTGATCCCTTCCAGGTCCAAACCTATGATGCTACAATTACCAGTCATCAAGGGACACAATTAAATCACAGCTTTGTCATAGGATCCTGTAGTTGGAAGGGATGTCAGAGATCACTAGTCTAAACTGTGACCAAATGGATGAATCTTCTCCATGACATCCTCACAACAGAGGGCTTCTTGCCTCAGGAGGATCTCTATTCCATTTTTTGAAAATTTCATTTGTTTGAAAATTCTTCCTTATATTGAGCCTTAACCTCCTTATAATGTGCACACAGAACAAATCTAATTCTTTTTCCATATGACAGCCTTTCAGATAATTAAAAGCATCTCTGATGCCTCTCAACCCCACATTCTCTAGGCTAAACATTTCCATCTCCACCAAAAACTCTTCATATGAAGTGGGTTTTTTAGTCCCCTCACTAACCTGGTTACCCTCCTTTACAGAGTAGAAAGTAAGGTATCATTTACCTTTATTTGTCTATAGTTATTTTTTGTGTTTGCTATGAAATTAAGTACATGTTTCTTTTTAATGCTAAATTTAGAAATTGATGGAAGAAATTGATGGGGGGATAGGGAGGTTGGAGGCAGGGCATTGGCTCATCATTGTTACAACTTTGTTTTATGTGTCTTTTGTTCTGCAGTGGAAAACTCTAGGGAAGTCATCATGCATCGGGGGAGACAGTTTTTATTTTCTTATGTAGAATATGCTATATTTTGTATAGAAAACTAAGCCTTTGATACTTGAATAATTGGATCCCATGATTTTTGTCTTTTGTTTTTCTAAAAGCTACATCAAGAAATATAAAAAAACTAAAATTCATGTTTATATATTTTAATATCCTATATTTTTTAATTGAACAAGTCAGTTCAGTTAAGCCGAGTCAAATCAATTTTGTGCCAAGAGTACATGATAATATATTGAGTTATTGCCGCATTACGAATAATGAAAAATGGAAAAAATGGAAATGTTTAAGTTATCATGCTCAAGTCACAGTTATGTCAAATGACCAGAGTGTATGGGAGCAGGGTTTGCATTCTGTTTTCCCTTTTTTGGTGAGAGATAAAGGGGATTGAAGTACAATGACATAGTGAATCAGCTTGGACAAAAAGAGCTTTCTTAGTAACTGTGGACTTTTTTTTTATTTAGTTCCATCTCCACGTCCGGATAATTCATTCCATGAAAATAATGTACCATCCAGAGTTGCTTCTCTGCCATCAGAGAGCAGCTCTGGGACAAACCATTCAAAAAGACAAACAACATTTGATCCATGGTAAGTATTTCATTTCACTTTTGATTTATCTTAAAGCAGAGATCTGAAAATTCTAATGTAAAGAGGTGCTCGCAAACCCTGGAGAAACTCTTCAGATGAGTTTTTCTTGCCGTGACAAATCTCCTTTTTCTGGCGAGTTACTTGATAAAGAAATGTGATTTATTATTGTCTCTTGATAGAAGAAAAGTTTGGCATTTAAATGTTATATGAAAGAAGGCTCTTCTTGGAAGATAAATACACTCTTATGAATCTTCCTTTATGCTCTTCTGACTTAGGCTAGAAATAGATTATGGTATTGCTTTCTCCCTCTGGCCTCCAAGAAGAAGATCCATGTCTCCCAGGGCAATTCCTAGGAACAGTAGCATTTTATAATAAAAGTTAATTGCTAAATGACAGTGGATGACAGTGGCGTGGGGTCACAATAACATCAACAAGTTTTCTTATTTTTGTCTCTTCATCCCTGTCATTCATAGTAAAGATGAAAAAATTCCCTGTATGCTGTTTGGACAAACTAAATTTCTTGGCGAGCAATACTACTTCTTCTTCTTCTTCTTCTTTTTTTTATGAGGCCATCAGGGTTAAGTGACTTGCCCAGGGTCACATAGCTAGTGAATATCATGTGTCTGAGGCCAGATTTGAACTCAGGTCCTCCTGACTCCAGGGCCAGTGCTCTATCCACTACGCTACCTAGTTGCCCCTTGGTGAGAAATTCTAACTCTATGCTCTCAAACCCTTTGCCTCTCACCTATCACTCATTGCAAACTATAACTGATTTCTTCCACAATCTGGCACCTTTGTTTCTATCAAACAGCCATTCACTGGAGCAAGAGAACAACATAAAATCATGCTGATTGGGACCACTACAAAATTATGTTCTCTGATCCAGACTGGGTCCCATTGTAGCAATAAGGTTCCACTTTTTTCTAATAGATTCTCCCTTCTACTCCCCACAGCTACTGCTACAGGCTTTCCTACCTGTCCTCAAGTAGCACCCCACACCTGACCCTTTCGTGCTTCACTAAAAAAAATTGAGGCCACTTACAAAAGATACTTCTCTCTTTGTCATCTCACATTACTCAAGCACTTCCCTTCATTGTCTCCTTTTTTACTCCTGTTTCTGACAAGCTGGTGGCCCTTCTTGCCAAGGCTCTGGCCTCACTCTACGTATCCTTGATCTCAACCCCTCCTGCCTTGTCCAACAGATTGTCCTCCTTCCCCCTTCATCTTCACTCTTTAATCTTCAATCTCTCCTTATCTAATAGATTCGTCACTGCTGCCCATAAACACACCTGTCTCCTTCATTCTTAAAATACTGTCACTTGGAGGCAGCTAGGTGGCACAATGAATAGAGCACCGGCCCTAAAGTCAGGACCTGGGTTCAAATCCGGCCTCAGACCAAACACTTGACACTTACTAGCTGTGTGGCCTTGGGCAAGTCACTTAACCCCAATTGCCCTAAAAAAAAAAAAAAGAAAAAGAAAAAAAATACTCTCACTTGATTTGACCACCTTCACTAGTTATCATCCTATCTCTCTCCTCCTTTCTTGACAAATCTGTCTGCACTAAGTGCTTCCATTTCCTCTCTGCTTACTCTCTTCTTAACTCTGAAATCTGGCTTCCAACTTTATCAGTCTATTGAACCAACTCCTTCCAATGTTACCAGTGTTCTCTTAAATTGCCAGATAGTAAGAAAAGCAAGCATTGATTTTGTATTTGATTTTACTCTCTAATTGATTTTGTCTTGTAATTGCCTAAGTCACATTTCTTTGTTTCTGAACTTATTTCAGAAATTCTGCTGGCCTATAATGAATTAAGTTTGGAAATCTGCCAATCCCTGTTCTATTCTTGTCTCAAAGAAATCTGTTATTCTTGAGGGATATGAGTGGCTACCAGGGAGTCTGGTCTAGTATCTTTATACTACTGAGCTATCCTTCAAGGATGTCTGGTCCACTATCTCTGACCTTGCAGGTGAACTCAAACAATGAATTTTTCTTAGTCACGGGAGGGATGGAGGGGGGATGTTATCAGCCTTCATTCCCAGTTTCCAACCAATCATCATATTGTCCCCCACCCTCAACTCTGTAACCAGTCATGTTATCTTTACCCTCATGATGTCAACCCTGTTACCAATTATAAAATTTCCTTGCCTGTCCTGTTATGTTCTTTGTTTCATGCTTATAAAAAGGATTTGCATCTTCATCTAGGAGTCTTTGGCTTAGAAACTGAGGTAGCCGTTGGCTCATTCTATTGGTAGGTTCGTACCGTACTAATAAACTGTTATCCTGCTCAGAGAAACTTGCCTCAATCTACCTTTATTGAATTTCGATTTGCCAATGGTCTTTTCTCAGTCCTCGTTTCATGACATAGTTCTCTCCTGGTACATGTCCAGTCACTCTTTCTCAATGTCCTTTGCTGTCTTTTGTTTAATCTTGTCCTTGGCCCTCTTCCCCTCTCCCACTATACCATCTCACTTGGTGGTCTCATCAGGTCCCATGGATTCAGATATCATCCCTATTAAGATAATAACTAATTTTGTAAAAAAAAAAAAAAAAAAAAAAAAACTTTTTTCAATTCACAGAACAAAACAAGCATTTCCATAACACAGTACCATAAAAAAGATGATTGCACATGAAACTGCAAATCTACCATGTACAACTTGCTATTCCTTCACATATACAACAAAGTTAATATGTAAATTTCTTCCCCCCATGCCCTAGAGATGGCTACCATTAGATATAAATATGCACATATATGTAAAATTATTCTATACATACTTCTGTTTATCAGTTCTTTTTCTAGCTGCAGATAACTTCTTTCTTTATATGTCCTTTATTTTTAGTTTGTATATTTATAATAGTCAAAATAAGTTAGTTGCTTAAAGTCGTTCTTAAAACAGTATTGCTGTTACTATATACAGTGTTCTCTTAGTTCTATTCACTTCACTTTTCATCATTTCTTATAGCACAGTAGTATTCTGTGCACCACAACTTGTTACATCTGGAAGATAATAATTTCCAAAGCTATGTATCCTAGCTCCAGTCCTACATTCATTCCTAACTCCCTGTTTGGATATTTCAAACTGGGTATTTATTCTAACCTAACTCAACCTAAGTGATCTTAACCATAAATTAAAATATCTACAACTGAACTAATTTTCTTCACACCAAAAACTGTCTGTTATCCCAAACTTCTCCAGCCACCTGGGTTCATAACCTTAATGTCATGCTTAGCTCCTCACTCTCATTGCCTGTCATTAATGATTTCTGAGAGTCTGTTTTAAGCTTTATAGCATATATGATAAGTATATTCTATGCAATAAAAGGTCAAAGAAATGATCTTTTAGATATCAATGAGCTCGGTTTTCAGTAAGGAAACATTTATTAAAATATAGCTGTAAAGACAGTGAAAACAGTTGAGATTGCTAGCTGGACCATATAAGGACCACGTGAAGGAGTCATTTTTCTAGTACTCTACAGCAATGTGCAATAGAATGAACGCCAGATAAGCTGGTGCTTATCTGTAAAATAACACAGTGGGATTAGGTGACTTGTGAGGGCCCTTCTAGTCTAATATTCTATGGTTTTATGTTTGACTATCCTATAACTAGTTATAGGTATTTTTCTGGAAGGAGGGGAGAAGGGTGCAAGGGGTTGAACTGTTTGCATATTTACACAGGACCACAAGAATTAAGTGAACTAGAAATCAAATCAGACAATAATCAGTATTTTCAACATTTTAATAATTATTTTGACTACATCCATCATTAAATTAGCACAAGTAAAAGCTTCAGTTCTTTAAGATTTTGTTGGAACCAGTACTTCCTCCACTAAGACAGGTTACTACCCTCTGTGCCTTAATAGATGGTCTTCATGATTTGCTGTGACCAAAATGTTCATCACCCTTCACCTAGGTCATGAATTTCTCAAAGTTGGTCCTTGGATGACAAACATATAATCCATATGTGGGACTTAATGCCTTTCTAGCTTGGTCAAACTTGCCAGAGTCTGCTGGGAGGAACCACCATGCCGTGAAGAGTCATTGGAGTAGGACTGTAGTAGAGGAAGTATAGAAAAGCTTGGTAAAAATGTTTGTGAAAGTAAGAATCACAGAGATAGGTCAGGGAAGGGAAGGAAAGGGAGATGGAGGCGGCAGGGTACTATGCAAATGGCATTGCCGTGGGATTGCTATGTAAGACTACAAAGTTGCCCTACTTTCCATATGTGAATTGGCTTTTGTATGGCTTCCACCGATATGTTGTTGAGATTCTTATCAATTTCTTCACATAAAGTCATAAAATAATTCATCTAGGATCTTCTTCTATTTTCTTGAACAATGTCTATAATTTGTTCACTGTATTTTGTACATGTATTTGGGAGGGAAAGTATTTAGTTTGGTAACTCTTGTATTAAAAACACAGTTCGCAGTTGACTAATTTATTACTTGTTTGTTTCATGCTGTAACTGTAGAATATGTATTACTAATGTTAAACTATCTTTTTGATTTTGTAAGCACATATTACACTAGTACCTCACTTATCTAGAGATCATTTATGCAACAACCTCAACTATCCATAACACAGTTATGAACTTAGAAGCCAGAAAGGCATTTGAGCAGCCCAAGTAAAGGGCCCTGAGGCCCTTCCTCAGAATTTACTCTTATTTTGGTAAAAAATATTGTTGTTGTTATTGTTATTGTTGTTTGTCCCTCATTCTCGAAGAAGACCAATGACATCAGGAGGATGATGTCTTAACTTGCAAGTGAATTAGATTTAAATGAGGCAGGGCTGTACAAAGTTACCAGCCTCACTCTTTCCTTCAGGGTAATCAAAGTCCAGTGGCAAATTACAGGTCAGAAAGACTAGAGATGACCTCAGATGCAGTGGGAGACTTTGGTCTTCTTAAGCTAAGGTCTTTCCCAGGTCTCAGTTTGCCTGAGGCAACACCCGTTCAATTAAGCTTTAAAGTAACTTAAAAATAAACTTAAAAATCATAGAAGGCTTG